GAGACAATGAATCTCTGGTGTTCAGCTGTTGCAGCCAGTGTCATGTTCCATATAAAGTGCTTCAGTTTTCACTGGGGTCATTGCTCATATTCAGCAGTTTCCTTTTTCCTTGGTCTAGTCTGAAGGAAAAAAAAAAAAACAAAACGACAATAACTGCCTCCCTACAAAAGCCAGTACTCCAGAGGTTAATAGCCATGATCTCCCACACTCAGCAGATGCCCTGGGAGATGCACTGAGAGGACCAGAGGATCCTGCCCGCCTTGGTGCAAGATGATTAATTCATTAATCCCCCCCCCCATTTCCCTTCACACCGCCACGGCACCTTCACATGGGAGGATGTGGGGACAGGCACACTTTAACAGTGGTGGCACCTTTGGAAGCATTAGGCATGCTCCTGTGTGAGATGGGTGCTGTCTCAGGCACTTCATGCCATCCTGCAGCCCCCAGAGTGGAGCAGAGCCCCTCTGCCGCCCCGTCCCCCTGCGGAGCACAGGGTGGCCATGGTCGCCAGAGGTGCTGGGGCTGAGGACGGCTGCCCGAGGGCGGACGTGGCAGCATCTCCCCCGTGGAAAAGAAGCGGGAGTGTTTCTGTCCCTTCTGCTGTCCTCCCTGCTGCAGGTGGGTGCCAAAGGGAGCCCCGGTCTTCTCCTTACTGCTGTGCGCTCCTGGAGCAAGGAGTCACGCCAGGGCTCTCACCAGACCATGCAGGGAGCTTCTGAGAGAGAAACAAGCAAACAAAAAAACCCCCACTTCATCACTCCAACCCTAACTTCTAATTGCACTGCTGTTCCAAACAAGCATAAACGAGAGATTAACGGGGAGCTGTGAGTCACGGGTGGCTCCCCCTCATGGCTTATAAAGCAAGAGAGGAAGAGAAATCAAGAGCCAGGAGCTGCTACGGCAGCTAACCTGCCGAAAGCTCCCTGAGCCCTGCCACGCTGCTTTGAAGCAGGAGGATGAGGAAGCCAAAAGCCCCCGGAGGAAGGCAGAGGTGACCCACAGAAAGTGTCGCCATCCCTCTTCCCGTGGGCTGGCGAGCCGCCCCAGCGCAGCGCTCTGCTGCAGCACTGCCCAGTGCCCGCTGATGGCCAAAGCCAGGCACGTGCAAACGAATGCAGCAGATAAAAGAGGAAAAGCAGAATGAAGCCCCTCTGAGCAGGCACTACCAGATTGTCCGAAGGGTGACCGGCGTGGCTCAGGCCAGCGTGGGCTGCTCACCTGCAGCAGGGGCTGGTGCTAATCAGCAGCCAGAGGAAGAGGAACGCTTCCATGCTGCCTGCATGCTGCTTCTGCTGCTCTACAGCCTCCTCGCAGTGACATACCAGACAAATACTGTTACTTATCAGTTCTCTGCAGGAAGAGAATTTTACGGATTCCTCTCCCGCCAAACACTGTGTTGAAGACTGTCATTTCCAAGCACTTGCCAAGGGCCTGATCTGGCCAGCTGCTTAATATCAGAGTGCTTCGTGCTTTCCAGCCTGTGCATCTGGGCAGGCAGGGTTCAAACCAGCAGCCCAGCCAGTCACAGTCCTGAGGAAGGTCTTGCATGCCCAAAAGCCTGGCTGTTTTTTCCAATTATGTCAGTTGGGCTAATAAAAGTGATTACCTCTTCCTACCAACCCTGCCTTTCTCATTGATCCCACAGGCAGTTCTTCAAATGTCACCCAGCAAGGAGGGAGCACACATCCAATTATAAAAAGAGAAAAGATTAGCGTGATGACAAAGCAGCGGGGTCAGTGGTGCAGATGTGCTGCACGGAACAAATGAGACCTGTCTGGTTTTGACACCCTCCAAGCCCGAGAAACCCAGAAGGAGGCATTTCGGGGTGGGCTGAGGCTCTCTCCAGCACTTCAGGCAGCATAAGAAGTGCAAACTTAACTGTCTTCCTGACCTCTCCTCTGAGGTTTGGTATTACATTTGTTTAAATAAGAAGCCTTGAACATGCTAGAAAGCTAATAACTACTCAAAAGCACGGATAAAGGCACGCAAACCTCAAAAGCAACTCGGACTTTTGGTGATTAAATTTATTTTTATGTGGGGCAAATTCCTGCGTTATTTTGAACCTGTGGTCACTAGTCCCACTCGGTGTGGGTCATGGCTGCATAGCCATGGGCCCACCCTGACACACCTTACATAGGTGAACAAATATTACCAACACAAGCAAGAACTGCAGAATCAAGGAAGAAAAATCAGCCTTTCTCTGCTTCCTCCACCACACCCTGTTAACCAAAGGAGAGGTTCAGGCTTCTTTGAATATAGTACAACAAAGACAAAATATTTAGATGTAAGCTGGGCTGGCTGATTTCTGCACCCTGGGCCACAGAGACTTCCAGAGTCCTGCAGCAGGCTCTGGAGAGGGATGTAGGACTCTTACCAGGGATACGCAGGACATACAGGTGCCTTTGATAAGCAGTTGTTATGAAGCAGAGAGTTTAGCTCTGACTCTCCCAGAGCTGGTGTTTCCCACCAAGTCCCCAAGCCTGCTTCTCCTCCTTTCAAGCCTCGGTGCCTCGTGCAAGGATGAACATTTCTATGTCTATGAGGATAGGGGACCTAATGCTTTTGGAACGCTTTGATCTGGTGTCAAGAGTATTCCCAGATGTTAGCCTAACCCACAGGAAACAGCACAGCAAACTCGCCAGGTTATTGCCAGAAACTTACCTTGAGTACTTTCGAGAGCTTTCTCATCAGCCCTTAAAAAAGAAGGGGGAACAGCGAGCTGAGGTTGACATGTAGTTCCCACACCTTCTGCTTTTTCTTCCCCATTCTGCTTTGCTCTCCCACTATTGCATCTCATCTGTACCTCTGCTTTTCCAGCAGCTTCTTGCCATGCCTCCCCTGCAAGGTGAGCGGTGCTGGCCCCCAGGCAGAGAGGGTGAGGGGGGGCCTGTGTGCACGGAAACTGGGGAACGGATATCGCACCCAGCAAGCGCTAACTGGGCCAGACCCTCAGCTGGTGTGAAGTCTGTGAAAGCCAATGGAGTGCTACAGACTCACACCGGCTGGTTACAGTTGTACCTGTTGGTATGGGTGGGAAACCTACGGCCTCATTTATCTCAACTGCGGGCAGAGGAAACTCCTGGTAATTAGCTAAGGTCATTAGCACTGCATACCTGGGTCCTCCAAATGCTCCTGCTTTCCAAAGGCTGAGCCTGTCTGCAGTGGGAAGGGGTGCCCTGTGGACCTTCTGCTCGCGTCTCTTCATCTTTAAAACCTCCGAAGTGTGCGGATGCAGAAGTGGAGTGTGGAAACAGTGCGGGGAAGCCACTAATTCAGGAAGAACCGTGCCTAGACAGACACCTCACACTGCTGAAACTGCCTTTCATCGCATTTCCTGATTCCAGCACCTCGTTTGCCCCTCTGTTTTAAACCACAAAGCTTCCTCTCCGTACACCCGGCTCTTCTCTATAAATAGCCTGGGTGCAGCCGGGGTGTGACACGGCCACCCAGCAGCCACGGCGCGGGGCCGGCGGGGCCAAGGCTGCTGCCCACCGCAGCCCGGCCGGCACCCGGCCCTCGGCACCGCGGTACGGCCTTGCCATCCGGGAAAAACCAGGCAGAATTGTGAAGCCCCGTCAGGCTCCGGCAGCTGATGTGTTTCAAAGCAGATTTAACATTAGTAACGTCAGTTTAATTGCTAACGAAGACAGGAGTCCTCCACTGCCTCTGCCGTGGGAGGGCCGCGGTGCAGCACCCGACGAGACACTGACCTGCAGCTGCTTTTGGTGCAGCTGGTGGCACAGGGGCAAATCGGGGCAAAAGCAACTCTTTCTGTTCTCCCTTTCTGTGGCACAGGGCAATTTTAGAACCCCAGCCTTCAAGCTTCGCTGTCACTTCCGCAAGCCCGCCGGGGCCCGCAGGCAGCGCGATGTATCTCTGCGGGAGAGCGGCACGAGGCTGGGCAGTGTCGGTACAGAGCAACGGGCAGAAACGAAACTCCGGCGGCAGCGTTATCTCCTGTTGGGCTAAAAGGAAGTTTGCAGGATTCCTTAGTCCTTATTTAGCAAATTTGTTTGCTTTGGAGGGAAATACTCGTGACAGCATCTGGGGCTAACCGCATGCCTGGCTGCAGCGCGGCAGTGCGCGGCAGTGCGCAGCAGTCGCGCAGCCTCCCTGCCTGGCCAGCGCTCCCGGGACAGCTGAGGGGGGTCTGTGCCCTTGGCCAGCTCCGGGATTTCTGGAGCTGGGCTGCGGCTCCAGCACTCGGATGCACCCCACCGCCCTGGGTGCCCACTGGGATGCTGGGCCGGGGGCCGGCAGGGACGGAGACCTGGGTGACGTCCTGGCGCAAAGTGTCACCGGTGAGGATGGGAAAAGCCAAACCCCGGCGCCCAGGCAGGGACAAAGTCCCTGCGAGCGCTTGGTGCCACGTGTCCTGGAGACACCCCCGGGGGCAGGGAGCACACAGGGTGCGTGGGTGGGGTGGGAGGTGGGGCACACGTGGGGCGCGGAGGCACGCGTG